GGCTGCCGTGAGGGGGATCCCTGCAGTCCAACAGCGTTTGCCGACCGGCCCTCGTGTCCCACGCGGGGCTGCTGCTCCCCGGCCCCCGCCAAGGGCTTCTCACTCCCGTTAACTCCGAGCGGGACAGAGTTAAGTGGGATGAAGTTAAGCCCCCCAAAAGCTGAACGTCAGGAAATCTTTCTAACGAGATCCACTGGAATCATCCTCCGAGAGAGAGGGGCAGAGCCCAACCAGCCCTCAACGAAACGTAAAGCTGGATTAGACAAATCCCTTGGGAAGACGGGAAAGGGAGGGAGGGGGATGCTGTGGGGAAACCCCGCGTGCCGCTTCCTGGCTCCCGGGGGGCCGGGAACCACAGGGGCCTTTCCCAGCTCTCATTTCCAAGCCTCTGGAATCACCAGTGCTTCCCACCTCCTCCGCGGAACGGGGACACCCTGCTCAGACCAAACCAGGAGAGGGGGAATGGAGAGGGAAGCAGAGGCCGCTCCCGCCCCCGGGCAGCCCCGGGGGACAGCGGTGGCCGCGGCGCGGGGACACCAACCTCGTTGCGCGCGGCCGCCGCGCGGTGCAGGGGGGTCAGCCAGACCGTGTCCTTCGCGTTCACGTTAGCACCTGCGGGACGAGGGAGCGGGGACGGGGCTCAGGGCTCGCGGCACCGTCCCAGCGCAGATTTAAACCAAGCAACCTCAGCCTCAATCCAGCAAAATCCCTTATTCCTTAACTGATCCCTCTGGAGCACCCTGCGGCGCCAGGCGCCCCGGGCAACCTCCCTGCTCCCTCTTCCAGGTTGTCTTCCCATGCCGGACGCCCCATGCTCTTCCCCTGGCCTGTTCCCACCTTTGCTGTTTCAGTCCCAGCAGGTTGCACAAACCACCCAGGATTACGGCCGCGTTTCCCAACCTTTCGCTCACTGCAACCCCTCTGGTGTAACTACGAGCGCGTGGTTGCTTGGAGCGTGACCAAAGCTATTGCTTTGCACCCTAAAAGCGGAGAGGATCCCCAAGCCGCCCTAAGGGCAGCTCTGCACCGAGCCCCAGCCCTCACCTGACAGGATGAGGAGCTCGAGGATTGCGACGTCTCCTACGTAGGCAGCAGCATGCAGAGGCGTTCGTCTTTCTTGGTCCTGCCAGGGACGTAGGACACAAGATCCATCCGTTACCTTCCGAGGAGGCCGGGGGATCCTTCGCGCTCTGATCTGTCCCGTTCGCCCCTGCGGCTCCCCGGGGCCCAGCCTGGCCCCGCTTGGCTGTCCCCAGACTCACTAAGTCCCCACAAAGCGCGGCGCGGGCACCTCTGTGCTCACGGCCAGCAACAAAAAACACTTGGGATTAGGGGCAGCTCTGCCGGGCCTGCTGGTGGCAGCTAGGAAGGTGCAGAAACCTCTCGGATTTAGACCGGATCGGCCACAGTAGAAGTGTCTGTCAATTCTGTTTGCTCAGGGCCGGGCCCTGGGCAGCCTCTTCCTTGAAGCGCTCGGCTCAGCCTTTCCTGGATCGGGCCACGTACTGAAGGCCGGGAGCAAACAAGTAGAAACTAGAAGGGCGCAACTCGTTTCACACCCAATTTTGTGTTCGGTGTTTTAAAAAATGGCTTTCATTGTATTAAAAACAGTTTGGAAACTGGTGTGGCTCCAGCTTTTGCACGGCCAGGCGGGAGGACGTGAGAGTGAAGCCAGCTTGCAGGCCACTGAACAAGCAAGACCATTCCCAAACCTGCGCACGGAAAGGGAACTGCAGTGTTAACATTGTGGTTTTATTCCTTAGGAAGAGCTCGGCAGGCCGAGCGCGACGCTCCCAACGATCCCGGTGCTGCCGTCAGGAGAGGCCCCAGCCAACGCGGGCATGGAAAACCAACCAACACCCTGAGCAACACCCTGAGCATCACCCTGAGCAACAACCAGCTCTGAGCATCACCCTGAGCAACATCTAGCCCTGAGCATCACCCTGAGCGACACCGTGAGCATCACTTGGCCCTGAGCAACACCCTGAGCAACACCCTGAGCATCACCCTGAGCAACAACCAGCTCTGAGCATCACCCTGAGCAACATCTAGCCCTGAGCATCACCCTGAGCGACACCGTGAGCATCACTTGGCCCTGAGCAACACCCTGAGCAACACCCTGAGCATCACCCTGAGCAACAACCAGCTCTGAGCATCACCCTGAGCAACATCTAGCCCTGAGCATCACCCTGAGCGACACCGTGAGCATCACTTGGCCCTGAGCAACACCCTGAGCAACACCCTGAGCATCACCCTGAGCAACAACCAGCTCTGAGCATCACCCTGAGCAACATCTAGCCCTGAGCATCACCCTGAGCGACACCGTGAGCATCACTTGGCCCTGAGCAACACCCTGAGCAACACCCTGAGCATCACCCTGAGCAACAACCAGCTCTGAGCATCACCCTGAGCAACATCTAGCCCTGAGCATCACCCTGAGCGACACCGTGAGCATCACTTGGCCCTGAGCAACACCCTGAGCAACACCCTGAGCATCACCCTGAGCAACAACCAGCTCTGAGCATCACCCTGAGCAACATCTAGCCCTGAGCATCACCCTGAGCGACACCGTGAGCATCACTTGGCCCTGAGCAACACCCTGAGCAACACCCTGAGCATCACCCTGAGCAACAACCAGCTCTGAGCATCACCCTGAGCAACATCTAGCCCTGAGCATCACCCTGAGCGACACCGTGAGCATCACTTGGCCCTGAGCAACACCCTGAGCAACACCCTGAGCATCACCCTGAGCAACAACCAGCTCTGAGCATCACCCTGAGCAACATCTAGCCCTGAGCATCACCCTGAGCGACACCGTGAGCATCACTTGGCCCTGAGCAACACCCTGAGCAACACCCTGAGCAAGACCCGGCCCTGAGCATCACCCTGAGCATCATCCTGAGCATCACTCAGCTCTGAGCATCACTCCGAGTAACACCCTTAGTATCATCCTGAGCAACACTGTGAGCATCACCTGGCTCTGAGCATCACCCTGAGCATCACCCTCGGCATCACCCTGAGCAACACCGTGAGCATCGTCCAGCCTGCAACATCACCCAGCACTGGGCATCGCCCTGGGCATCGCCTGGCATCGCGTCCACAGGCCGGAATCGGGGGCACAGCCCGTGCGAGCGCCGCACGTCGGCGCCCCAAGGCAGCCCCCGCTCCCGAGGAATCCCCTCCCGGGCCGCCCGGCGATCCGGGCGCCCACCGCATCCCGGGAGCACATCCCAGGGGACAGGGAGCTCCATGTGCCTCTCCCCCATGCCACGCAGCGGGCTCGGCACTCATGGCAGAAAAAAAGGTTGTTTCTTAATTTTTTTAAGAAAAAATAAAATATTAAGCTGGGTTTGCAGGCGACAATTCCGCCCCAAGCGGTGCTGGCTCTGACCCCCCATTCACCAGCAGAGCTCAATGTTTGGGTCTCTCCCAAAAAGAGACCCCCTCCCCGCTTTGATTCCAAGCCCAGCTCCATGGCCCATCCGCGTTTGGGTAATGCCTCCACGTTGGGGTGGAGGGAGCGGCAGGGGGGGGGGGGGGGGGGGGGGGGCGGGGGCGGGGGCCGCCAGCGCGAGGGGACACGGCGACGCTGTGGGGACGCGCGGAGCCAGGCGGGAGCGGGGGGACGGCGGCGGGGGCAACGCGGGGACCAACGCGACGTCCCCAG